AGAGAGAGAGAGAGAAAAACAGCCCTATTTCTTAAGCAGCTTGTGAGGATTAAGTGAGATTGCATGGAAAATGCTAGAAGCAGTGCCCAACAAGCACAAGCACTTCACCACTGCTGGCCATGACCTCACTGTGGTCACTGGTAGAGACCAGTGGCCTGGAACGGTGCATCTTGGGTTAAAGCAGTCCAACCCTGGAGATGTCCCCTGGCCTTCTAGAGGCTGCCTGCAACAAGGAACCCTGCATCAGGCCACCTGGCCTGAGTGCAGGGCAGGGTCATGGCTGTTTGAGAGCCCAGTCCGGCTGAGGCTCCCAGTGGCTGGACCACACACCTCATGGGACCCAAATGCTGCCAAGGCAGACAGTGGCAGATGTCCTAGAGGTGAGGTCCAGAGCAAAGGCAAGGGTGGGACAGGAGACTGGGGACTGGCTGGTCTGCTGTAGTATGACTTCTCTGGGCACAATAACAGGGGCTGCTGTGACGGTGACAGTCCTGGGCCGGCAGTGGAGGCTGGATGCTCAGCACCAGGGGGCGCTGCAGGTTCTTGAGGACAGAGATGACCCAGTAGAGAGCAGGCAGAAATGGAAGGGGGCCTTTGCCAAGGCTGCGGTTCCTGGGCCTCCTAGCCCTGCCAGGAAGCCTTTCCAGTCCCTGAGTTCCCAGAAATGGCCACTAGATGGCAGGCAGTGGAACCTCAGAAGGCCCTGCTGTTCCAGGACCAGGACATTGAGGACACAGGGCCAGAGGTTGCCAGAGCCCTGGTCTCTACACTGGCCTGGGCCCATCCCACCTGCCCTAACAGGTGGCTCCTCTAGGGGTGAGGCCGGGTGTCCAGGAGGATGGGCCCTGTTGGCCGTAACCACAGGGTTAAAGGTCAGGGCTTACCCCTTTCTACACAGGCTCTGACTGGACTCTGCAGACAGCAGCTGAGACCCACATCCTCTTGCCACTCTCAGTGGCTCCTCTGCACCCAGAGGGGTGGCCTACAACCTTCAGTAGGCAGCTTGGGGGTCAGGGTCCACCTGAGCCTGTCCCAGGTGGACAGGCATAAGGAGCAAGGGTCCTTCTAACAGAGGTCCGTGCTACAGGCCCCTGCCAGGGACACGCGACCTGCTTGCACACATGTACTTGTCCTTCAAAGGATGGGGACACCAGGAGGTGGCATCATGGTCAGGGTCCCGTAACCAGGTTCAGTCAGACCCCAGAATCCAAATCCTGGACCCCTGTGCATTGGCCACCCTGCAGTGACGGCAGGTGGGGTGGAACACCCCTGGTGGCACCCTCAAGCCCACCACTCCTGGACCCTGTCCTGGCTTACTGAGTTCCCCCTGGAGTGCTCGAAACCCGTCCAGGGCCACTAGTTTCTGAACTGAACAGGCAGGCCGCCGGGCTCATGTTGGGAGGCAGCCTGGGGTAGCCAGGAGAGCCAGGGCAGCTGGGCTGGGCCCAACATGACTCTTACTATGAGACGGGGCTGGCAGAGGACGCCCACCTGTATGGCCTGGCAGTGGCCGGAATGTTTGAGGAGTAGAACATGTCCATGTTGCACAGCGAGGGGTCCGTGGCAGGCGACGGAGGCGGGTTCAGGATCTGAGGAGAACCAATAGGTTACCCCTGGCCTTGCCAGAGTGGGTCCTTGCTTCATGGCGAAGGGCTCTGTCCTGGGCCCTGTGTTTCCTGGGATCCCCTGTTCCCTTGGGCTCTGGTCAGAGCTGGGGGGACTTAAAAAGCAGAGGGGAGACAACAGCCACTGCCCTGAGGTGGTGGCAGTCGAGGCATGGAGAGCGAGTGTGTCTCCAGCCCGGGACCCTCCCCCTTCCCGCTAGCCCTGCTGACCACCAGGCGCCCGGGCCAGGGCCCAGACACTCAGCTGCGAACACACACACACACGAGACCTGAACGAGGAACCCCAGTTCCCGAGCTGGTCGCTCTTTGGCCCTGACCCCAATAGCAGCAGATGTCTCTGCCAGCACATCCGACCACCCATCCCCAGAGCTGCATGACAACGCAAGAATCCCGTCACCACTTCCCAGCCTCAGATGCCACCTGGCCGGGGCCACGCCTCTCCACCTCAGTTCCCCATCTCAAAAGGGGCCATGACCTGCTTCACAGGCTGTTCCAGTGGTGGCGAGTCCCTGCAGGGAGCACCCAGGCCCTGCTCCCTATCTAGGGTGGGTCTTCTTCAGCCCAAAGAGCCGGCCTGGGGATTCTGGAAACCGCCCTGAAGTGGGGAGGGCACGACACTGGGGGATGGGGTCAGGCGGGGACTTCCCTGCAGAAGCCAGGAGGGGAGCAGCAGCAGGACCTCCTGCAGCGTCCAGGCTCCAGGCCCGAGGGTCCGTTTCCAGGCACACCTGCCTCCCAGCACACGAGTTTCTACCCAGCGTCCTCCTGGGCTGGGTTTAAGTGCTGCCTGCCCCAGGAACCAGGTCGGGGTGAGGAGTTGTTGAGATGGCTTTCCAGCGCTGAGGTGGCCCTCGACAGGCTCTTCCCAGGGGACCCCCAGCCCATCTGTGCGACTCCCACCTGCCTGTTCCCTGTGTCCACCCCCACTCACAAGGCCAGCAGCACAGGAAGAACACAGGACCCGCCTCCCTGGGCCCGGCTAGTGCGCCCGCAGGACAGAAGACCACGTCAGGAGGACAGGAAGGCCGAGAGCAGGGCAGAGCCCGGGCCCCCGGAGACCTCTCCAACCTACACCTGCCGACACCCGCGGCCCATTATCAGGACACGGACAGACTCTGCCGAGGGAATAAAACTGCAGCTTCTTAAAACACGAAAGATGTCGGAAGTCATTTCTAAGGAAAGAGATTCAAGACTTCCCTGCACCAAGGGAGCCCGAACCTGTTTCCTTCCCTTCCCAGCCCCAGGCCCTTGCCTTCTGCAGACATTTTTAGTTCCACACATGGACACAACATTTTTATTTTGTTTATTCATTTGTATGTGGTGCTGATGATCGAGCCCAGGGCCTCACATGTGCAAGGCAAGCGCTCTGCCCTAAGCCACGACCCCAGCCCTGCGGACTCTCTTTAATCATGTTCCTTATCGCTGCCACAACCGGCAGGACTGCACGGAGTTCCACAGACAGCCCATCCCCAGGGAGTGATTAAAGCAGAATGTGCAAAGGGACGTCATAACTTTGTTAATAATAAACACAAAATTTATAAGTTTGGACCCCCCCCCAAAAAAAAAAAAAAAAAAAAAAAACAAGATTTCAACAAGACACCACTGCACCCTGCAACAGACTGCAGGACGGTGAGTTTGCAAAGGCCAATCTGGCTGGTGTGGCCCTCTGCTGGCAGGAAGAGGGACTGTCCCATGGAGGCTGCTTAGCAAGAATGTTCAATTGGTCTCTATGGGAGGGGCCTGCCACCTGTCAGGATTTGGGCCCAGAGAACAAGACAGCCCTGCCTGTGACAGCAGCTTCGGGTGCAGGAGAGCAGAGTCGGGGGTGACAGGGAATCAGGCAGGCTGGCAGATTCCCCCTGCCAAGGGCCCACCAGGCTAGAGTACTGAGCTCCTCGGCCTCCTCACATGAGGATTCCAACAGCATTCCGGGGGTTAAGGGGATAACATGGAGCCACGTACGGGGCACACCATGGCTGGGCCTCCAAGAAGCTCAGTGGACACTGCTGGTAGCAACAGGCAGGCTCAGAGCACAACCTGTTGGGTTTTCCAAAGTGCATATGGAACATTGGTGAAAGCCGAGTAAGATCAGAGGGTGGTGTTGGGGTCCTGTTTAGGACACTATCCTGTAGTTACACAAGACATCACTGCTGGGGAAGCTGGGCAGAGGGTAGGCGGCTCTGAATTACTCCCTGCAACTGCACATAAATCTTCAAGGATCACAAAATAAAAAGTAAAAAAAAGAAAAGAAACCAACGCACCCACTTTGCAGGGAAAATAAAGTCTGGGCCTTGCCTACCTACAGATTACCTCAGGAGGACACCAAAAGGACCCACCACAGGATGCACCTCCAGGGCCATGCCTGGCTTGGGGCAGCCCTGTGTCTCACACTCTCCTTGACAGGGGACTGAACTCAGGCGCACTTCACCACTGAGCCATAATCCTGGCCCTATTTTGTATATTATTTAGAGACAAGGTCTCACTGGGGGGCTAAGGACCTCACTAAGTTGCTGAGTCTGGCTTTGAACTCACAGATCCTCCTGCCTCAGCCTCCTGAGCCACTGGGGTTATTTTAGGCATGTGCCATCACACCTAGTTTTCTGTACCTTTTGAATTGTGTACCATGGACTGATGCAAAATAAGCTGTTAATTTGAAAATAGTTGGCTCCACACAGTTTCTTTGGGGGTGATGAAAATGTTCTAAACTCAACCATAGCGACGATTGCGTGTAGCTGTGAAATAGCCAGCTGCTCAGGGCCCTGTGCTACCCAGCAGAGCCGGTGAAGGGCAACTGCAGCCTCCCAAGCACCATGAGGCACGTGGGGTAAGGGAGCTGCTTCCGGCAGTTGGCCTGGCCTCAGGCAGGATCCTAGAGCCTTTAGATGGTAACATGGGTCCTTGAGAGGTGGCAGCAACAAGAGCCCAGAGGAATGGGCTATTCTAAACTTCAGGCTGCTCTTGGCCTTCCCTTGTCCCTAAAAATCGCCAGGCCTCGGAGCTTCAGAAGATAGTTCCCGCCCTGAGATACCACCCTCCTCCGCCCTCTCCTCCCAAGGCCTGTCACTCTTATCACAGTTGATAAGAACTGGACCACACCCAGTGGGAGAGACACCCAGGAGCAAGGGACACCAGAAGCAGGGGGTGCCAGTCCTGGCAAAGTAGGGCTCACTGGGGGGACCCAGATAGGACTGTATTTACCTTAGAAAAGAGCACAGCGGCAGAAGAGCTGGCTTTGGGAGGAATCAAGAGCCTGCAAGGGCACACAGAGCCAGAGCCCTGGTGTGCCAGGAGGCCCGCCCCCTGCTATGGATCTGCCTCCTGTGGTTCCAGAAGCCCGCGGTCGGTCAATGGAAATATTAATATTTTTCTTGATTTTCTCAAAGGAGAGGCCACATTCACATAGCTTATGACAGTCTGCTGACGTAACTGTTGCGGTTTATTATTTGCTACTGTTAATCTCTTACTGTGTCTAAGGTATAATTACGCCTGTCATCCCAGCTATTCTGGAGGCTGAGGCAAAAGGATCACAAATTCAAGGCCAGCCTGGACACTTTAGTGAAACCCTGTCTCAAAATAAAAAGGGCTGGGGACAATCTCAGTGGCAGAGTGACCCTGAGCTCAATCCCCCATGCCAAAAAATAAGTAAATGAAATTCCACCTCTGTCCGAGACTCACAAGGAGTGTACGTGGGAATGGCCTCTCCGTGGTCCCAGGTGTGGGCCGGGGCCCTTGGGAGGCAGCCCACACACAGGTTGGGGCTGACTGTGCACAGATGCACACCCATGTAGCAAGCTCACCTGGGCACCAGGCTGTGCTCTCAGGAGCAGGGCCCCCGCAGTGAGACCCGCGGAGGGTCCCTCGCAGAAAGCAGCAGAGTTGGCCCTTTACTGAGGATTGAATCCAGGGCTTCTCAACCACTAAGCCACATCCCCAGCCCTTTTTATTTTAAGACAAGGTCTTACTAAGTTGCTTAGAGCCTCACTAAGTTCCTGAGGCTGGCTTTGAACTTGTGATCCTTCTGCCTCACCCTCCCAAGCCACTGGGGTGACAGGTATGGCCCACTAGTGCTGCACTCTTCACAGTCATTCCTGGAGGCTGCTACTGGCTGGGGCTGGACCCTCAACCTGCTGGGACTGCCAAAAGCTCCAGGGAATACGATAGCCACAAAGATCACCCCATACATTTGTCTGTTCTTCAGGAAACAACCCAGCAAGGTGCAGGGTGTGAATCTCAGGTGTCCTCGCAGGACACAGGTCTGGAGGACCTGCTGCAGAGAGGCACAGCAGGGCAGCACAGAAGGCACAGTTCCTCAGAGCAAGACCCCCACAAGGACACCAGGACCCCAAAAGGACGTGAGTACCCCAGGAGGTGGGAGTAGGGCCGGGACTTGGCTCTGTGGTTCCACGCAGTTTCCAGTCTATCCACAAAGAACAAGGACTTCCCTTCTCCAAACAGAAAACAATGTTATTCAAGAAAAACCCAAAAGGGGTAGCAGGGGAAACCACGCCCTCGGCTGACCGAGACACGAACAGTCACAGCTCTGGAGTCGCCCAGGTCCCAGCAAGCCTGGGCCATCGCTGAAGGTGGAGGCCCCAGCTGGCCAGCTGCCCACCACCCTCCTTGGCCCCGCCTGCCCTCTCACCGGTGGGTACAGAGTGGCCTTCGTGCTGGACGAGCTGCTGGACGAGGCGCCAGTGACATGGTTCCGATCATAGAGGGGAGGGCCGCTCCGGCCCCCCATCAGGCTCACGGAGCTCATCATGGACTTGCTGCACGAGATGCCTGTGGGCAGGGGACAAGAGGGGCAGGGTGGGGAGCTGGCCGGGCACACCCCAGACACAGGCCCTGCCTGCTACTAGGAGACTCAGATTCACGCGGGAAGTCCTGGCACACAAACTTCTCCGGCTCCTGGCAGCGCCCGCTGTCCAACCTCCTCTGTGAATGGGGAGGGGCCTTCAGAAGGGAACCCCCCAGGGCTGAGCATACAGCACTCCAGGCCCAGACAACAGGCCTCTCTGCGGATTGCTGAAGAGGCAGGGAAGCCCCCGCAACCTCACCCCCAGGAAGAATCGGGCACACCTGCACCGGGACATCAGCGTCCAGTGAAGCTGGCTTGGGGGTGGAACAGGACAAGAGAGAGGGACCCCAGGCTGGGCAGGCCCTGAGCAACCCTACGGTGGTCCTGGAGCTACAGGTTAGCCCTCTTGGGTACCCCAAAGTGTACTGCATGACTGACCCCTCGTTCTGGGACACACAACCCCCCAATATGATGGGAACCAGCAGGCTTTAGCCCAGCAATGTGGCCCCTGGGCATCTACAGCACAATCTGCTTTCCTGATGACCAGGAGGGTGCCCATCCCAACTGCTCGGCCACCATCCGATCTGTGCCCAGAACAGAGCCACTGGGGGGAGAGAATCCTCAGGCTCTAGAGAGCCCTGCTGCACCAGGTCCATTTCTAGGGGATGTAAGGGCTCAGGGACAACTAGGAAACATCCCATAGTAATGCTACAGGTGAAGCCCAAGGAGCATACCCACACCACCAAGGCCAAAGGAGAGGCTGCAGCCACACGGGCTCCGGGCCAAGAGGGGCCAGTCCAAGCACAGGCCAGGCAGCCTGGCACGCCCAGGAGGCGCTGCAGGAGCCGCGGCCTCGTCCATCCCCCCCGCACCCCCACGAGCAGCCCAGACAGCACACCCTCCTCTGCGGGGCCCTTGCCTGCCTTGGTTCCTTACCCGTGAAGGGACCATGCTGCGAGCCACCAGGAGCTATGAAATTGAGAGGCACGTGGGGGGTCCCGCTGACATACTCATGCGGAAAGGGCCCACTGGCCCCTGCATAGCGCTGGCACACCACGCGCTGGCAAACAAAATAGACCCCGCCCATGACGAAGAGGGACAGGATGATGCCGATGACAGGTCCGATGGCGCTGCTGTGGGCTGGGGTGTCATCTGAGGGTGGCTTGGTGATTTCTGCCAGAGGACAGACAGAAAAATATGGTCAACATTAATCCCAAAGAGATGGCCCTCCTGCAGGTTCCCAGGCTGCAGGACCCACAGACGGATGGGAGAAGTGAGGCTGGATCATTCTTACCCAGGACCCCTGCCCACAGGTCCTTGGCCCGCCTGGTGACCCTGCCCTCCCCCGGCCCCTTAACTACTGACACGCCTTTGCTCAGGGGCCTTGGTGGCAGCTGGAAGTGAGTGCTCCTGGGTGCCCATGTGTCACATGGGACAGACTGGCCTGGAGGCCTCCAGAGCTGGCTGTGAGGGGCAGCCCCTGCGGCTGTGGCAAGGAACATGGACGGCAAGTCCAGCCCCCAGACTCAGCTGGCAAGAGCAGGTACGCCTTCCCGCAGGCTGACCCGGAGGTCCCCAGGCAGTCAGCTGCAGGAGAGCAACCCAAAGCCCCGGAGGCCAGGACTTCCCATGGCTGTCACTCTCCACACAAGGGCCCACAGTGTGCTGGAGGCCCAGGCCCAGGCTCCCCAGACCAGACACCTGCCCGGCAGAGGGAGAGGACAGCCCCCAACTCCGCCACCGGCCCAGGCCACTCTCTCAAGATGATGTTCAAGAGCTGGGCTGTGGCTCAGTGGCAGAGCACTGGCCTAGCACGTGTGAGGCCCTGGGTTCCATCCTCAGCACCACATAAAAATAAATAAATAAAGGTGTCGTATCTATCTACAACTTAAAAAAAAAAAAGATGTTGTCTGAGATGCCTGAAGGGGGTTGGCATGAAGGCTCCGGAGAGCTCAGCGAGTCCTTGGGGACCCTCCTGCGCCCCTCGCCCCTAGCTCTCAGCCCAGCTCTGCTGCACAGGAGTGGTCATGTGACACATCCCCCTTCCTGTCTGGAATGCCGGCTCCTTCCCGTCTGAATCAGGCAGCCATTTGAGAGCCACCGCCTCTGGGAAGCCTTCCCTGACTGTGCTGGCCACCCACACTCTAGTCCGCCTCCCTGACTACACAAGCCAGGTCCCTGGAGGGGCACGTGTGACGTGCATGTGGGCACGTGATGTGTGCTCCTGGCAGCCTCAGGCGATCCTGCAGCAGGAGAGACGCTGCCCAGCAAGTTCCCCACGGCAGGAGCTCGATGGGGCTGAGCCTTCAGGTACACACACTGTGGTGGGCCCTACCTCCGTGCCTCTGCCCCTGCTAGAACTCAGTCCCCACCACAGGAAGCTCTGTGTCCCCACAGGGCCAAGCACACCCAGCCTCCCAGGCACCTTGGGCCCCCGCACACCCTGAGTGCGCCCTGAAGGCACAGCCCGCTGCCCACTGCAGGAGCCAGCTCACCGCACATGAGCTCATCGGAGCCGTCCATGCAGTCGGGGAAGGAGTCACACTGCTGCTTGATGAGGACACACTGGCCGCTGGCACACCGGAACTGGTTGGGCAGGCAGATGGCTGCAAAGAGGGTCCTGTGCTCAGAGAGGCAGGAGGGAACCAGAGCCCGGTCCTCTGCCCAGGCCACCCACAGCAGCCTGGGTTCCAGGCACAGAGCCCTCCAACAGAACCCTCTCCAGCACCAGACCTGCCCAAGGCCTGTGTGATGCCAATGGGGAGACGGGCAGGACAGGGCCCCCATACACCCTCCACCCGCAGGAGGCATCTGCCCGCATCTACGTGGGTCAGGCCTGCACAGAGTAAGGACCACCAGCCCTGCCCACGGTCCCCCTGGGAAGTGGCAGCCAGAGGGACCACAGGAGGAGCCTCACCCCCAGAGAGGTGAGGGGTTCAGGGTGCCCGCAGCACTGGGCAGCACTCCAGGAAGGCACAGCAGCCCCACGGCTGCCCTCCCCCACCAGCGCTCCGGGGACTCAGGCCACAGCCCTTCACCTTCCCCAAATGCTGACCTGGAGGGTCCATGGCACCCTAAAGAAGGCAGTTTCTAGGCTCTGACTACCCCAGCAAACCTCCTGAGCTCCCCACCGGCCCTGCACCCTGAGAACCAAAGGCGAGGGAGCCCTGTGCTGCCCCTGGACGGATGGCATGCTGGTAACTGGGCAGGGAGGAAGCCTGGGAAGCCGCAGAGCCAGGGCCTGCAGGAGGAGGCAGGGGGCGGGGCTTCCCCAGCAGGGCTTCTGCAGCCTCTGAAGTCTCAGCCACACTACTGCCAGGCCAGGGGGGCAACAGGGCTGGCACGCGGCTTCTGTGGTGGATGATGGTGAAACTCATGCCAGGCACCACAGGCTCCGTCACCAAATCCTGGCTCTCCGTTTCAGCGCAAGAGCCGCCAACACGGACACAGACCTGTGGGCAGGGCTGGTGCCAGAGACGCTGGGCTTGCAGCTGAATTTGCCCAGGGTGCTAACCCCGATCTATAGCTGCCCCCAACTCTCAAGAATCAATGAGCTGCAAAGAATTAGTTGTGGCTTTACAGAAACATCTGTGGAGATTGGTCTGGAACCTCGTCTTCTACAAAACACCTGCTCATCCCGCATGAGGGTGGAGATCAAGGCCAGTGTGTGAGCTGTTAAGAACAGGACCCAGTGGTCTGTGGGGGTGAGGGAGCATCAAAAGACCATATTAACAGCCCATGGCAGCCCTAGGACCAAGGCTGGACAGGGACGCCAGGCGACCAAACAAGCAAGAGTCTCATCAGAGGGAAACTTATCAGAGCAGGTAGAAAAGAGGTCTGTTTCACCACTGAGATCTAAAGGAAGGCCCTGATGGTCAGAGTGGGCCCAGGAGGCCTCAGCACCTCTCTGGTGCTAGACTCCATCGCGGTGGTTGAGTGTGACCCCTTGCACTGCTCGGTGGGGCACAGCCCTGCCTCTCAGGGTAGGGCATCCCGGGTCGTGAGGCACGGACGTCTCCAGCCAGCTACTAGGTTCACATTGGGTTTCTGCAAAACTCTTGACCGAATGCAGGAGTCGAGATGGAGTCCTATCTGCCTTCAAGTCAACTGCTCGGTGGGACAGCGTTTCCCACCTCGGCCCTGAAACTAACTCATCCCTCCCAAGCCCTGCGGCTTCCCTCCAGGGAAAGGTCTGACAGAGTGTCACTCAGGGGAGGCCAGGCAGAGCCTGGACCGCGTGGAAGAGGGCTGGGCGGTGGGCCTCACCGTCACAGTGGGCCTCGTCGGAGCGGTCCTGGCAGTCGGCCTCGCCGTCACACCGCAGACGCAGGTCCACACACTGGCCCCGTGCGCAGGGGAACTGGGCAGCAGAGCACACGGGGCAGCCCAGCTCGTCACTCTGGTCGTCACACTCGGGGAAGCCGTCACAGCGCCAGGCCCCGGGGATGCAGTCGATCTCCCCAGTGGCACACGCAAACTGGTCGGGGGAGCAGGTGGGAGGCTCTGAGGGGAGAAGGGACGACCGTCACACAGGGTCCGCCCGGGAGACCAGGAGACAGCTCAGGTCGGCGCCAGCCGTGTCCCCAAGGTCCTGGGGGTGCCCCATGCCCTCCAGTCAGCATCTCCTGCCTGCTGCCCCAGCCCAGACCAAAGGCCAGGGAGGACCCAGTGCTGCCAGAGCCATCCCTTCCCTGTGCAGGGGGAAGGACCGTGACCCAAGCAGCCACCAAGCCCCGTACTGCAGGGAACAGGCAGGAAGGCAACCCTGTCTGCTGGGCCGGGCCCTCCCCATCCTCAGTGGTCTCCCCACAGGGCCCCTGAGGCCTTCACTGGAGTGCACATCAGCTTGGTAGCACCTGAGTGTCCATCAGCAGGCAGGGGGCAAAGTGGGTGGGTGGCACCCACACCAGAGAAGCATGTTGAGGACTCTTCAGGGCCAGTATCCACAGCACGGTGGGGCTGACAGAGGACCCGATCACTTCGCCCCAGGCACCTAGCTACATGTGGGCTAAGGCGAGGGACCAGGATGCTCACAGAGCACAGCGGGGGCTGCCCAGGACAGGGCCATGGGAGGGAGGTGGGCTGGGAGGCCAAGGACTACTTCCCACTGGTGACCTCAGGGCTCACCATGGCAGACACTGGCCATTCTCTGCAGCCTGTGTCCACGTTTAAAAGCAGTTGGACTTCCCACTAGAAGCAGGGTTCAGTCCCCCTGACCAGACTTCCAGCTCTGCCTCCTCCTCTTCCTCCCTGTCCCTCAGCAGGGAGAGCCAGATGCCACTGGCCTCTCCCACAGCTCCCTGGTGGCCACCTCCCTCTGGGACAGCAATATGCAGCCACTTGGCTGGCCCTACTGACCTCCCACCCCACATGGACGGTTCAGGTGCCAGTCACGGCCTGACAACCCGGTGCTTGTACCCACCCATGCAAACTCACCCACTAGACTCCCCAGGGAAAGCCACTAGGGTATCACAAGCCCATGGTCCTGCCCCTGCTGCCCACGCCCGCGGATCTCCAGGGTGGCAAGGCCCCAGGCATGCCTGCACCCCTTGACATTTGTAAGCAATGACATCTGTGTCTGTCTTGCTCTGGATTCTTCCTGCATGCTGGCGAGACCCCAGCCCGCGCACCAGGCGAGCGCTCTACCCGAGCCGCTCCAGGCCCTGTCTCACCACCCCCGTCTCTCCTGGGCATCACGGTGATGTCCAGTTTAAACATCCTAATTTAAAACAAGATCTCCAGCTCATGTCAAGCCCAGGGCAGTGCCCCATCCCACGGGGACATCCCTTGGCTCTGAGTGGGCCTTGAGTCCAGGGCAGTGGGCCAAGGGCAGCGCCCCATCCCAAGGTCAGGTGCACAGCAGAGCCCAGTCGGTGGCACTGTGCTGGGCCCGTGCGGATGAGGCAGCCACCTCACAGGAGGCCAGGGAGCTCCGCAGCTTTAGGGACACCCGTTTTCTAGAACTCCTCTCTTTTATGCAGAAATTGGCAGAGAACTAAGGGGCTGGCCTGGTGTGGGGTGTGAGGACGCCCCAACACGCCTGAAATCCAACCCAGGAAAGGCGCCTGTCTTCAAGCCCCAGAAGGCCTGCAGGCTTTGTACGCCAAACCCTGGAGCCCAGGGGTGTGAGAGGGAGGCTCAGATTCCAGCCAAGACCCCAGCCCCTGGAACCGAGAAGCCCGGCCCCCGCCCCTCGGCTGGGCCAAGGAAGGACACGCCGGGTGCAGGAGCCGGCACCCATGGTGTCTGGAAGCAGCCCAGGTCGGTGTCTGCAGGCGAGCTGCCACAAAGCCTGTGCCACCAGGGTGGTTTCAACTGGCCCTGGGGAAGAAGAGGCCCAGCCTCCACGGCCAACAGTCCAGGCAGCCATGGCCGGAGGGTGAGGGCAGAACGGGCAGGGTCCAGGCGGGCCAAGGCCATCCCAGCTTCCCTGGGCAGCCGAGAGACCCGAGGACACGGAGGCCTCCGCCTCCTCCTCTCTCCAACAAAGCAGCTGTGAGATGCCACGGGTGCCACAGGACTGACCGAGTGGGCAGACAGGCAGTGGTGACACTGCTGGGACACTGCAGTGCCGGAGGCCACGTCACAAGGCCCACACTGAGGGTCCACACTGTGGCCATGTCACAGGAGCCGTATCCTGTGACATGGCCACGGAAGGCTGAGAGGCTTCTGCACAGTGAGCACCGACCCTCGGCTCTGACCAGGCGACGGGCCCAGGGCGTGCCCCCTCCCACGGGGACATCCCTCGGCTCTAAGTGGGCCTTGAGTCCTGGACGGAGGGCCAAGGGCAGCGCCCCATCCCGCAGGGGCCCAGGGCTGGTCCATGGGAGCCTCCACAACCCTGCTCCCTGGGCAGCTCGGGCACCAGTGGGAGCTGCAGAGTGACCCCTGCAGGAGCCCCGGGCCGGAGCTTGAAGAAAAGCTGCCTGGCTTCTTGGGAGGGGAGCAGCCAGCATCCCCCTGCTCCTGGTCACGGCCTTGGGACCCTGAGGTGCGAGGTGAAGCAGGAGGACGCTCCCAGGCCAAGGTGTGGTCCCGCACAGCAAGAGGAGAAGAGTGGGGTCTGTGTACTGAGCCCGGGCTGCGGAGCCAGGTGGGTTGAAGCAGAACAGAAATGGCACAGTCCAAGGCCACTCGGGGTGGGGGGTGGGGTGGGGACACCAGGGGCAGCTGGAGAGGAAGCCCTGGGGTCAGGGCTCATCATGCTGACAATGAAGACTGTCACTTTTATGACTGCAGTCACCCCACAAAACAGCACCTGGCATTCCCTGTGCCATGTGCCAGGCACCATGGAAAGTCTCTGTTACTGAAAGCCTATGACAATCTGCCAAGTGAGTGGCCTCAGTTTCACAGAGGAGGAAGTAGAGTTCAGAGAAGGCAAGTGACCAGCCTGGGGGCACCCAGCAGGCAATCTGCAGAGCCAGGATTTGAACACAGGTCTAATTCTAAAGCCCCCACCACCATCACTACCACGGGGCCCCAGGGGAGCAAGAGTACAGAAGGTAGCAGGAGGGACAGACAGAACGACAAGAAGAAATGGAGAGATCCCCGTCGGAGCTGGAGCCCAACACCCCTGCAGCAGCTGACAGCGTGAGCAGGCAGAAAGGAAGGGGCAGGGGCCTCATCGGCACTGTCAGTCAACAGATCCAACTGATGTTCTGGAACTTTCCACCCACCCACAGCAGAATCCACCTTTTTCTCAAGAGCATACAGAACATTCACTACCATAAACCACATGCTGAGCCACAAAGCCACCCGGATAAACCTGGAAGAACAGACATCCCACAGAGCTCTCAGACCGCAGTGGATTAACCAAAATCAGAAACAGAGAGACAGCTGGAAGGTCTCAACTCTGGAGGTTTGAATCACACACAGGATGAAGAAACTGTCTCAGGAGAAATTTCAGAGTAGTTGAATCACCTGATGAAAAATGAAAACACAACCTATCAAGATCTGCCGACGCAGGAAAAGCAGCGCTCAGGGACACTCACAGCAGAGAAGGCGCAGCCTTAGGAAGAGGGGCGTAAGTGAAGAGGAGCTCTACTTTACAGAATGGGAGCCGCTGCGGTTCATAAGAACGCAGGCCTGTGATCTGGCAGTAAAGATTCAGAGCCCTGTCCCAAGTTCCAACAGAGCGCGCCGAGGTCACACCTACCGCCACAGGTCAGCAGGTTCTGCAGGAGCACGAGGTGGACGGGGCAGGAGCACCGCGGGGTCCCGTCACCCTTGGCGATGCAGATGTGGGAGCAGCCGCCGTTGTCTCGGGCACAGGGGTGAGCCGCTGTAGGGACAAACAAGACGGGGCGCTGGGGTCGGGCTCCTCCTCTCACCTCAGGACCTGGCACTGAGGAGGGGGCCTGAGGGACGAGCCCACCCAGGGTACCTTTCCACTCACTCCCCAGCAGCCCTGAGTTTCCTTCTATGATATGGAAATTGACATAAACCTGGAGACTGAAGAGCAGCACAGGACTGATGGGCATCCCAGCCCCCATCGCACCCACAGCCACCACCCTCCGCTGCCTGTCTTCACTGTGACAGTGGGTGTGCCCCCAAAAGCTATGCCACGCCTAACCCCCCGAATCTATGGCTGTAACGTAAGTTGGAAAAGGGGCCTTTGCAGATGTGGTGGAGGTGAGCAATCCCAAGATGAGGTCATCCTGGACAACCTGGGTGGGCCCTAAATCCAATGACGAGCATCCTTATAAGAGGTGAGGTCACTGACACACAGAGATGGCCATGTGGAGTCAGAGGTAGAGGCTGCAGTGATGCAGCCACAAACCACGGTACCTCTACCACCATTACTGCAAGAGGCGAGGGACAGACCCTCTGCTACAGCCTCCGAGGGAGTGTGCCTCTGCCAACACTTTGATCTTGGATTTCTGGCCTCTCATTATAGGAGAACAATTTAAGTTGCTCGGTTCACGGTCATTTGTTATAGCAGCCAAGGGGGCGCTGACTCAGTAAAATGGCAAAGGCACCAGGACTCCGGGGAGCTCAGTCCTCTCTTCCATGAACAGGACGCCTAACAACAGGGTAACGAGGCGACCAGGAGGCTGGGCTGGCCACCTCCAGTGAGAAAAAGGAAGGGAATGCCCCCCTCCCCCAGCCTCAGAGGACAGGAACATGGTGTTTCTCTTCCATCTCAGGGATCAGGTGTTCTTAAAAATGAAGAGAGTCATGGTTTACAGCAGAGGTCTGCAAACTTTTTCTGTAAAGAGTTATACAGCAAATAATGTCCACTTCCCAGGCCAGTGTGTCCTTCACAACACTCGATCCTGACAGCCACAGTGCACAGGCAGCCACAGGGGGCACATGTGAGTGGGCATGGCTGTGTGTCCGGGCCTGACTCAGAGTTCAGCTGTGGGCTCAGCCTTCCCCATCTGCCATCTCCCATCCTGAAGGCCCAGGACACACAGTGATCTGACCTGGATGGAGTTCGAGGCTGGAGGACGGAGACGTCCGAACCCACACTCGTGGGACGCCTTGATTTGTACAGGGACTTCACTTGAGAACACACAAGGACAGAACACCAGCTGCCCACAGTCAGCACGGAGGTGACAAAGTCACTGCCTCAGAGCTCACACCAAGCTTGAGCAGGAGCCCACACGTCACTGCCACCAAAAGGTCTATCTCACACACAATTCACTGACCGACCCACAGGAGCTCGGTAACAGAAAAGCCGGCGGCTGGGCCTCCCCTGCCCCAGCTGCACGTGCTCAGCAGCTGCGCGCGGCTGTGCTGGTGCCTGTTGGATGAGATGTCTGATGCGTGGACATCACAACTGAGAGGAAGCGGTGGGGCTGGGAGGACGACAGCTGGAACACCAGGACCAGGGGAGGGCAGTGAGCAGATTTCTGCTGGATTTGGGAGTCAGAAGCTGCCACATCCGTGAGGACTGAGACCAGGAGAGAAAGCAGGAAAGTGCAAAGGGTGGTGCTACCCCCATCCCTGGCGAGGGGCTGTGCTGCTGTGTGGCCGGGGGCACCACAGGACAGGAGCAGCAATGGCCCCACCCACTGCTCTCTGCTGGGCCAAGCACCTAATTGTCAGCTCACCAAAGAGAGAGAAAAGCAAGGAACCTGAGACCTACAATCACGCACAGACCCCCCCACACACCTAGGCATACAGCCATGTGGGGGGTGGGGAGGAGCCAACGGTCCAGCTGGGGACCAAGCCCTTGGACACAATGAGCTGGTGGTGGTAAGACCCTCAATTGCCCCCAGCCTTCCCACCTCAACCCCCTGGCACCGTGGACCTGATGAACTATAAGGCCCAGGGTTTCACAGTGGGTGTGGTTGAGGTCATCAATCAGTTGACTCGGAGTTCATCAGACGGGAGACTAACCTACAGGTGCATCGAGACTGACCACAGAGCCCTTTAGCCCAGAGTGGGTTTCTGACTGGCAGGAGAAGTGTCAGGATTCAAGGTGTGAGAGGGCCTGATGGGGAGGCGCCGCAGTCAGCCTAAGTGGCCCCCAAAGGCCTTCTGTGGAAGGCTCCGGGCAGCACCACTGGGAGACCATGCAACCTTAAAAGACGGGGCCCAGGAAGTCTCCAGGTCACCGGGAGTGAGCCCTTGCAGAGCAGGGGACCAACCTGACCCCATCCTCTTCCTCTGTCTTAATTCCTGACCAAGAGGTAAACAGCTCTTCTATGCCACCTGCTCCCACCATGATATGCTGGCTCGACACAGGCTCAAAAGGGCCCACCGACCACGGACCATGAACTAAGAAAACCTTTTCTCTTCCTAAGCTGATTATCTCAGGTATGTGTTATAGTACCGGAAGGCTGAGCAACGCAAGGGGCCACAGGACAAGGAGGTGGCAGTGGCTGACCCTGGTAGACAGCCAGAGGGAATAGGGCCTGGTTGTATGACTGTCAACGCTCTGACGAGTGCGGGAATGGATTCTTCTACAGAGCCTCTCACTGGCGAGCCCTCCTGTGCCGTGGTACACCCAGACCTCAGCTCCACAGAAGTCAGACAGGAGGTGGGCCAGGAGGTGGGCGTTGGCTTGTTTTCTTTTGCAGAACTGGGGAGTGAACCCAGGTGCGCTCCACCACCCAGCTACATCTCAGCCCTTTTTACACTGAGACAGGGTCACTAAGTCACTGAGACTGGCCATGAACTTGCAATGCTCCTGCCTCAGCCTCCCGAGTCCCAGGGATTACCGGCCTGCGCCACTGCACCCAGCTTTGGGTGCTGTTTTTAAACTCTAGGTTTGTGGCCAATTGTTGTGTGAAAAAGACCCAGGGAGGCCTTGGGACATCTGGACACGTGCTGGTCTTTGGTGCTGGGCCACCACCTTGCTGGGGTCCCATGGGTCCTGAGGCTGGCCT